CTAAGTTGCTGCCGACTGCATGTGAATGGGGTGATGCATGTAGGTACACCTTGAGATTGTCTCACCACGACGCTGTTGACCCCGATCAGTGCCTGGAAGCCAGAGTTGCCACCCGCCGCTGCTGCTTTCGTCCATTGTTCCTCTCCCCTATCTCCTGCTGCCAAGTCTTCCGAGGAAGCCGGCTGACAAGCAAAACGAGGGCCAGGTGCAGGGGAGGGAGATTCATGGATCACGCACGATTTGAACCACAGCAAAGACTACCCGTCCCAAGTTGAACACCGGGAAAAAAACATGGTCCGATCTTCATGGCGATGTGCCCGACATGCACGCAACAAAACCGCATGGTCTGGTGGTACGAGTTAAACGACGGCCTACCCTGCTCGGTGCACATGAGCCAGACAATGTCAGAAAGTCAACAACGGAGTCTCAATTTTCAATTCCCATTTCTTTTTGCCGATGATACCGCAGGTTGCACAAGATATCACAGTCCCTGGACCGATTTTCAAAGCTTGATTGTTCCGCGACGGAGAGGACGCGAATACCAAACGATACATACGTGTTAGGAAAACTCTCCCAAAGAGACGATCCCAACGCAGCCATTTTCCGTGCCGTAGTATAGTTAGGAAAAATAAATATACACGAAAAAAGACTATTGAAATACACGTTCTAGATGACCCGCAAGGTTTTGCTATTATGCGCACAGGGGTGCGATCGATTTTCAAAGCAAAATTTCTAACAACCGGAAGGGTGCGAGCGTCAGCTGATGCTTCTCCGGAAAGCTCTCGATGAGATATTTCCAAAACCGCCCTTTTCGACAGCGGTAACCTCCTGGTTGTTGAGAAACTACGCTTTGAAAATAGCTCGCACCCCTGTGCGCTGAATCGCAACCTTACGGTACCCACATTCGAACGGGATGTGGTGAAGTCTTTTCAGCGAGTGGAGGAAAAACCGGCTGGGCTGTGAAAATCAGCCCAGGAAATATGGTCGTCTGTGCGGGTTCCGGGTTTTGTATCCCAAGGTTTGGTGACCTAATTCACCTGTCCAATGCTCAGCAGTAGTCAATCGGCTATTAGTACATACTCCCGTAGCAGATCTCGCTCTTCCACACCACCTACTGTTATATATATAATATGTAAATACTGCTGTAGTCCAGTTGTGCACACATTCGACGACAAGAAACAGCATTATTTTTCGTTTTCACAACAACGCAACAAGTATTCATCTCTTGCACAGATAGAAGCAGTCCGGGATAGACTAGCAACCAAATTCTCAGTGCTGTATACGGATCAACTTGCATTTCTATGCAAACGGTTCCCCGAGCAGCACAGAGCTTCAAAAAAAAAAAGGGGGGGNGGGGGGGGGGGGAGGTTGAGGTTGGCAGAGAGAGGTTCCGCACATCCGTTCTCTCGGAAAGTTGAATGTTTCAGCAGGGTCCCCCGCCTGGTTGCGAGTAAACCTGACGCTGGTGTGTGACCCATGCACTCACCCCTGCGGGAGTCTTCCTTGCCCGTGGTGAAGTAGACAAATCAACCAGGCCGTGCCTAACCAAGGATGTCCTTATAACCGGGACGTCGTGGGGGAATAGCTCGGTTGCCGCGGCGGTCATCGCCTGTATCCCTCACCACCGCCTTTCGGGCACCTTTTATGCCGCTTGGTACTTATGGCAAAGTCGTTTCTCTTCTACCCACCTGAGCTGGAATGGCTCCCCATGAACAGACAATTGTCGTTCCTACGTAAGCACGCGTGGAACCTATTATGTATCACCTTATCCCGTGCCCGGGACCAAAACGAACGGGCAGGTACAGCGGACGTACGTGGCGGTGATGCAAGATCTCCGGCGGAGGGGGGTTTAATCCCTCCCCCCCCCCCCCCCCCCCCCCCCCCCCCCNGGGGGGTTTAACCCCCCCCCCCCCCCCCCCGCTGCGCTAAGGGGGGCTTCGCGTTGGTTGGGGCAGCAGTTGCAGTGTTGCAGTCCCAGCGAACAGAGTAGTAGCAGCAGCAGGAGGAGCAGCAGCAGGAGAGTGCGTGCGTGAAAGAGAACAAACGTGTTGAAGGAGAGGTGATGAGAGATTAACACGCCTGTGTGAGCTAATTGCACCGCCACGCCAGCATGGTGTGGAACATATTTCAACCACTGGGCGAAAAGAGGAACAGGACATCCGTCGGGCAGGTACGCTGCGGCCGACTCCTAACCTACACCACTACCTCTCAGTGCCTCTAATGGTGACATCTGATATCTAGCACTTTGCAGTCCAGCTACGACTTGGCGTTCTATCTTTCTCCTTGCCCCAATCTATCATATTCTTGCGATGCTTCATACCGGTACCACTAGTCTATGCTACAAGGTGGTCGTGGCTCCTTGCCGTTGGGTACCAGTTTCTGCAAACAAGGTGCGTTCAAACAGCAGTATCTGTTGTGCCGGATACACTGCGAACGCCGCATGGCAGGACGCGTGTGTGCGATCTTGGACACTATGTAGCTACTGTTGGGCGAGGTGTGTGGACAAAGAAGAAAGTGCTGAGCCAGAGTTTGAACCCGAGTGCTACAATTTCTAGAAATCTATCATTTCTGGTAGTATTTTGCATGTACATGACAACCAACCATAATTATTTTATCATGTTCTGCCAACCAGTGCACCCTTAGTGATAAATTGGTATACGCGTACAGCGTGGATGACCTGTACACTCGACGACTACTGGGTATTGGGGGGTAATGAGCCGCGTGGTGCGACTCAATATCTTGCAGTAGTCTTATTTGCGATGCTGATTGTGCACGAATCCCGACACACGCTAGCGTGAATCGTTTGTGGTGCAGCTACGCGTGCGACGGGAGCGACGATGATTTTATGTGCGTAATGCTTGCATTTTTACGGGATATCGCGAAAGCGAATGCAACATACAGCAGTGGCACCCGCATGCTCAACAGCCCTTGCTCCGAGAAACGGAACGAAAATGGCATGGCCACCATTTTGCTCCACAGCAGTTCGTTGTCGTCGCGCGAAAGCAACAGCGACAGGGTGGGTATTGTCACCAGAGAACTCCAAGTCTATACCGTAACACAAGATAACACACCCCCTGAACCGATTTTCAAAGCTCGATTACTTCACGACGAAGAGAATGCATAAACGAAACGATACATTTCGAAAAGCTCTCAACGAGACGGTTTCAACGCCGCCGTTTTCGGCGCTGTGACTGTTGCTGCAGTTGAGAAATCGAGCTTCGAAAATTGGTCAACGGGGTGTGATATCTTATGTCAAATACGGTAATCGATATCGAATTCTATTTAATTTCAATATCGAGCTGACTGTACTCGGACGCCCATCGTGATATCGACATAGAAATAGAAAACAACATGGATGACACGAAAAAGACCTGAAAGCGTCCGTTGCAATGATTCACACGATGACGATCACCTCCACAGGGCATATCCCAGGCAGCGAGCAACCTGTGATTTTAATACTCCGGTCTGATGCAGGAAAGCCGAAAACGATGCCGTTGGCAAAGCAAGAATATCACGTCGACGATCCTCTTTCTCACTTTACAACAGATCTCGCTCAACGGAAGTATGGTGTGCCCTGCTGGATGCCTTTGTTTTTGCACCTCTAAGCTAGATGAACAGCGAAAGGCATCTCCGACTTTCAGAGAGTCTGGCGAGCAACTGGCAAGCAACTTTCCCGTTCGCACGTTCGATTTTCGATTTCGACCTATTCAGTGCATCATTTTGGTTTTTCCACATTGATAAGCCTTCTGAACACAATCCTCTTATATCGAAAAACTGGCGGTGGTACAAGGTTCAGTTGTCCAATCAGTGGCTTTGTCGATTTTCGATTTTCGGTTTTCGATTCAACACTGCGGTGACAAGACCCACCCTGTGAATGCAGAAGCGACAGCTACATGTAGATGTACTTTTATGTGGACACCGCGTGGTTGAAAGCGTCTGGTTGAAAGCGTCTGCCGCCCACAGCAGAGCAACATCGACTATGTAGCCACGGTTGTGATTTCGCCTATAGTTGAAAGCTCATGGTTTCGGAATACTTCGATAAATTTGTCCTGTTGTGCGTGTCCCTTTCGTTTTTTGAGAAAAATCGCAACAATGTGGATGCAGAATGTAGGACGCCGAGAGACCGATCTAGATCAGCCTGTGAGATACCCACGCTCATGCGAGTCTGGGGTTTACAGGGTAAGCTGTCTGCCTAATACCTATGATTACTGCAACGTCCAAGGCACAAGCGGCACGGGACACAACTGGCCATCCGTCTGCTCGTTTGTGACGTTGCGGCATATGGTATGTATTAAACAGGATAGATCTTGCCGAACAACTCGCGCTGACGGATTTGATTGATGTTCATGCACTGCGATGTGTAGCTCGTTCCCTTTGGAAGCTATCTTTGCGTTTCGACTCTCAAGAACTTTGGACAAATCACTCATGCACTAGGTGAAACCTTAACCTTTCACATCCGAACGGAATCTTGAACGTGTTCCTATGGAGGAAGGGCTTGCTGGCACAAGACAATGGAGTGTTCACGGAGTTTGTCGTTGACCTATCATAGCAGAGTCTAGGGGGGTAGGTCGTATAAATCGCGGTAGGTTCTTCGTTCCAGCCGCCAGCCAGAGTCGTTGCCTCGTGAATTCCACCTTCAGCTGGCGAAGAACCCTGAACCTTTACCATAGGTTCTTCTGCATACCCCCTTGAGCCCCGTCTCGGGTCTGCAGAATTTTGTTTTGATGGGTGGGTCCTTCAAGCGTTGTCCAAAGCACAAGTGTGGAATGGTTCCTCCGTATGACAAGGGAGCACCCTGCCGGCGACTTTTTACTGAAACCTACGCTCTTGTCGTAAGCCAAGAGGGAACACTCCGACCAACACAGGGAAGGTATCTTAGTCCCCGGCAGGCAAGCAACTTTCAGTGGGCCGTTGGGTTTTACCAACTCGATTTGTTGGCGTTCAAAACCGCTCTCCTCCTATTCCTCGTGACCTTCCCTTGTTGCCGAAACCATGAAACCATGCAGCAGAAACAGCACGCCAATGAAGAGACCTCCAACAACCGCAGCTCCCCTCAGCTGGCGCCGGAGCCCTGGGCTCCAACCTTCAAGCGCTGTCCGCGGGAAACGCAGCGAGTATGGGCGTTTGCGGATGATGCAGAAGGCCACCGTCTGAAGACCCTGTGGCAGGGTGTCAAAACCCGCCAAGACCAGCCGCTCGCGTTCCGGCCGGGCTTTGATCCCTTCGTGATGGCTCTTAGGTCCTATTTGGAGACCGCAGGAACCACTGATGACAGCGACATCGCCACGGCGGCCATGGCCAATGGCGTTGTGGGACAAAAAATCGCCGATAGTGCTAGCTCACCGCCGCTCGGCCATGATGCAGAAGTAGTAGGAAGGGCTCCTGCCCCCGCCGCGGACACCCGAGGCGTCCCTGTCGACGCCATCCACGGGCTGGCGGAGGTCGTGCTATCCGCATCGGTTTGTAGCTGTGGCAAAGAGGTGGCAGCAGGGAGAAGGGATGGCTCGTATTCCGCTGCTTGGGCCTTCGGATGTCCGACTCATGGGCTTTCCGCCATCTCGTGGGCTCGCATCCTTCCCAGCGGTACATGGCGCCATGAAGTTGAGGCTTGTGACAGAGAGGAGGGTGATGACTACGGGGATGGTGGCACTCGAGTCGATGGCAAAGGAGGCTGTGGTAGAGGTGGCCGTGATGAAGAAGGGTGGCAAACTGCTGATCCAGTTGGAACAGCACGGAGGCGGGCTTGCCTGATTAAGACTCTCTATGCGCTCTCGGCAGCTTGTCGATGGTCGCACGTACGTGACGAGCTGGCGAGGCTTTGCGAGGGCGGGGGTATTGCAACTGGACTGGCGTCGTTGTGTGATGCGCTGTGTTCCCGGGTGACCGAGCTGAAGCGGCGACAGCAAGGACCATTTCGTCGCCCTCATATCGCCGGAAGCATTGAATGCGAACGGTGAGGCAGGGCTGCTCTTGTTGACATTTTGACTTTTTTCGACCGGCCACCGTTCTGGATTCGTCCATTATTCCTTGTGTCGTGACGGCTCACATGCAATTTGCTCGGGGCCTCTCTAATTGCGCCAATCAATCCATGTCCGACCCGTAATTGCGCCGTTGTTCGCCCTCCAGTGCTCAGCAAGACCTGCTCTTTTTCGCGCACTGTTTAACGCCTTTAGCTGGCCTGGTGACGAATAGTGCCCCGGCTGCAGGTGCCTGGTACGACCTAGTCAACGCCAAAACGCTTAGGGGGACCGGTTTACCTTCCCACCCTTGGGTCAGCAGCACCGAAAGCAGAGGTGGCGTTGTTCCGAGCTGCTGTCCTGTATATAGAGCAGCCGATGCTACCAACGGTGCACCGGGCATGAGAAAGGCGAGGAGGAGAAATGGCGAAAACCGCGGGAAGGAGTCGTCCCCAGCTGCAGGCGATGGTCACAGCGACGAGGAGGAGGAGGAGGATCTCTTTTCCGCCATATTCTCGGCTGCAAATACCGACGAGTGGTCTGCGATGCTTGTTGGTTGCGGCGTTGTGCGTTCCCTGGTAAACTCATTGCAAGCATGCCTAGATGTCCGTATCACCGCGCGAGGCTTAGACTTGACGAGGGCTTCGCCGGCGATGAGGCGGTCTGGATCTGCTACATTCGGCGGCGATAGAGGAAGCAGCTGCAGCGCGGGGCTGGACGTAACGACCGGCGCGGTGCAGAGTGCGGACTTGGCAAAGGAGGAAGAAGACGGTGATGGGATGCCCAGCGTTGACTGGTGCCTTGCGTGCGAGCTTGAGACGGCGCAAGTCGTGGTAATGATGGCCCTAGGCGCCCTCCTCTCGGCCCATCCTCTTGCCGCACGTGATCGTTTCCAGCGCGCTGGTGGTGCACTTCGTGTTCATCGAATAATTTCTCACCAGCCGGAAAATTCAGGCAACGACGAGGTGCACGTCTGCGTGTCTTCCGGACCCGAAGTTGATGGTGATGCTGCTGCAGCCCCTGTTTCGGCCTGCCCGTTTTTACAGGAGCACTGTGTCTTGGTGGCTCTGCAGATGTCGCGGCTGAGCGTCCGCGCTGAAGGTATGGCAGGGTGTGCGCCGCTTGACGTCCTGCAGGGAGCGGCGCGGGTGGTGGGAGCCCTTTCACCGGCCATGTTATCGACCTGGCGTAAGTGCCAGGGTCCAACTGTCACTTGCGGGGATCTTCAGGATCAGCCACCCCGCCCGAAGCCAACAGATAAGGACGAGAGGCTTCAGGACAGTGGCCTAGAAGATCCTGAGAATAACAACAACCAGCAAGGCGTCTTGTCCCACGGGTTGCTTCCTCTAGGTCTTCCCGGAGAAGTTGCTGTGCCGGTAACCCGTGAGGTCTTTGGTAGCACTACCGAGGGCGGCACGTTTGCACGGGTAGAATCGTCCTCGAGGAGCTGCAGTTCTACCGCGGAGGTTCGCCGTTTGTTCGACAGCTCCTCATATCGGCTGTGTGGGTGAGTGGTCTCCCTTTTGTGGTCGCTGGTGAGATGTCTTTATTTTGTGAGGCTTTTGATGCTTATTCACGTCTGGCCATCATGTTCAGCATTGGACAGGCGCAAATCCATGCAGAAGTTGCGAAGCCGAAATTCGTTTCTTGACAGTCGCTGGTGTGATGCTGGACGCCTCGTCCCTCCTGCATCATACTTTTGCCCCTTATCTTTGTTGCGTCACACGCTATCGTTGTTCAGACCACGTCCGGGCCATCCTCTTTCTTCATCCCGATCAGCCTTCGCCGGCACTGGTTGGGTAGCGGATCGGCTGCAGGTGCTGGCACGCGATCGGGGGCCCGGCGCGGAGACGTTGGTAGACTCTGTTCATTCTCGGCTGGCGACCTTGTTGGACACTACTGACATTTTCATCATCGTTCAGGATGCGTGCCGAATGTCCATCCCCCCGACCCTGGAAGGTAACACGGGTTCGGTGTTGGCCGATGGTGGAGTGTCGACAGCGCTGTCACAGTGCCCGCCACTATTACTCATGGGCTTCTACGACGGCATGCTTGACATCGTCGGTGATTGTGACGTTGCTTCCAAACAACGTCGTCGATCGGCGGAAACATCTGAGACTGGTGGAGCGGGAATCCCCGCAGGTTTCTGTCCTCAGATAGGTGCCGAAGGTGCGGTGTTACGGTCGGCGCTGGCGTGCGTGTTGGAAATCTTTGTCGAACCGGGGGTCGTGGGAGGTGCTCCAAAGAACGGAGAAACTTCTGCTCGTGGTGGTGGGCGCGATAATTTTCCAGTACGATCTGGGAGCAATATCACCGGCAGGCAAGAACAATCGACCGGGGCGCCGGTCTCCAGCGAGGGAAATGTGGCTGCTGCGGCGATCCGACAGCTACTCGCGTTGAAATTTTTGCATCAAGCTGTTCGACGTTGGCCACGCCTTGCCGTGAAGCTGTCGGAGGAACTCGGCCTTTGGGATGTTATTTTTTCGGAGCGCTTCCTTTCAGGTTGTGCATGCCACATCACCTGCGCAATGGAGCTTCTGAGTGATGATCCCGCCGATGCCGGCACCATTGGTTCACGCGCTCCTGGCCGCAGCATGCTTCGTGAGTACGCGGTCGCGTGGGGGCTTGTGCACGATGGGGCGTTGCTCCTTCTGGAGGCTGTGGCGATCGTGCGGTGCCTTTTGCAGTTAGGGCCGGAGGAATGGAAACGCGAGCACGAGGATGAGATCGGGAGTTGTGCCGTTGGGGGTCAAAGTTCAGGACAACAGAGGTCGTCTGAGATCGAGAAGTATGTGACCTTCTTAGCTAGAGAAAGGAGCAACCGATCTTGCGACAAAGCGGCCATGCAAGGGTGCAAGTGGCTGAGAGTTTTGATTGCGATGGAGCCTGCCCTGGGCACCAGCCTGGTCGTACCCCCGTCGCTACGCGTGGCTTCTCTTTGCCTTGCGTTCAAGTTGTGCGACCGTGGGAATGGTCATGGGTCTGACGATGCGTGGGTCTCAGATGGGGCGGGTTGGCCTCTGGTCCATGCGTCCCTGTCCCTGATAGCAGACATGGTGGCCACCAATGAAGGTTTGCTTTTCCAGGCTGCGGTGGCGTATGCTGTAGATGCGGACGCGACGACGGGAATGTTAACGGCGTTGCCGGGGAAACCCCGACCACGTCGCGCGACGGCTTCAATGACCTCGGATGCATCGAGTTCAGGTCTGCATGCCGCAAGTGCATGGTATACCTCCGCGAGCGGCGGGTCGCACACGCTCGCCAGCATCCACAGCTTGAGTCCCCGCACAGGTCCAAACTTTTTGTTTTGTGATACCCACGTGGGGCAGCCGCCGCCGAGGACGCCACGACCACTACCAGAAGTGCTGTTCAAGGCCGCGTTGGAACCTCGGGCTCGCCGTGCTGTATTTTATTGCGCGGCCGCACTGGGAGTTGAGGCCAGCAGGGAAGCTTTGGCGTCGGTAAATGTCCAACAGCGAGAGACGGCGGTGGCTGTACTCAGTGGACTTGTGGAAGGGTATATTTGTCTGTGCGAGCGGGCAGCGGTGGCGACTGTGGCGGGTTCAGCTGCTACGGATGATGGACCGAGCCTCTTACTCGATGCGTTACACGGTGCGTGTGCGCTTATGCGTTCGGAGGCACCGCGGAACATGGGTGAGGTGAGTGCCAGCGGTAGAGGCGGCATTCAGAGCACTTCTGGAGGAGCCGAGAATGGCCCGTCCTCACGCCCGACGAGACAAGAGGATACGGGCGTGTTGCCATTGTTGCAGGAGACGTTTCGAGAGCATTGGGCGTCGGCCCGCCTGTTGGTCGTGTTGGAGAGTGTTGCGGGTGACCTGGCCGCATCCAGGTCGACACCCAACTCATCATCCGTGCCGAAGGAGGGATGCTCCGAGATCGTGACAGCTTGTCTGTCTCTTTTCACCGCAATGATGGCAAGGAACTCCCTCGGAAAAAAGGCAATTAGACGCGCGCTTTCGGAGCACTATGTCGGAAGGAAGGATTCGCCAGGGGCAGTGCCATCGTCAATGCCCTGCGGTGCCGCTGGTTGGGGCATCGGGGGTTCATCATTTGTCGCCCTGGCGCACCTCGCTGGCGTAGTGTCCTCTGCATCGATGTGCGAGTCCTTAGTGGAGATGTTGATGGACGGTGAAGTTCCAGAGTGCGTCCTCGACATTGGACGTGACCAGCTGGGTGGAGCCACTAGAAGCGAAGAAGGCCACAATTGTGGCCCAGAAGGGAGGGAGGAGGATTCGGGTGCTTCGTCACCTCCCGAAATTCGAAACCCTTTTGTGGTGCCACTGATATTCCAGCTGCTTCCCGACTGGCCTGCTTCAGAGCAAGAAAACATCCTGAAAGTGTTTAAGTTGCTGCTGAAGGGTGCGGGTGGGGGTACAGTGAATCGGTCCCTGTGCTGCGATGTTCAACCGGCTCTCATGGATCAGGTATGGCAGGTCTAGTTCGTCTCTATTCAAGACATTCAGTGTGATGATGTTTATTACGAAAGTTGCACTGTCACCTAGCACAGCTCACTTCATTCGGTCTGATTGTGTTTGGTGATGTGATCGGGGCTGCCGGATGGGATGTGAATACGATTCCTCTGTAGATTTTTTGAGTTTCGTCGTGTAATTGCAACACCGACGGGTGCGAATGGGGGTCGTACGCACGACTGATTTGCTGTATCTGTAGGAGTTATATGCAACTGCAACTGCCTCCATCGAACCCGATCGCGTCTAACCCATCGCTTTCCTGAGTTTATTCCAACGCCTTCGCCTCCCCCCTCCACCGTCAGCTCCTGGATATTATTCCACGACTTAACGGCAGCGGTAGCGAATGCGAAGACAGCCTACAAGAGCTCGCAATCGACCTCGTCCGGCTGTTAGGCTCTCATTCGATCAACGTGGCGCAGCTGAAGAAGATATTTCGGCTGCTACAACCTCTGTCCGCCGTCAGCACGAAACGCATGGGAACGTCGCCTACGTCGATTACCAGTCTCCCTTTGCAGCCACCCTGGATGTGCAGTCTCCTTCGCGCCCTCCGCGGCATGATGGATGACGAACCTGGGCCCCAACGCTTTTTCCTTCTTGACGGTCTCAACTCCGGCTTGCGTCTGCCGCGGATGCCCCACTGGCCGGCCCAGAAGGGCTACACTTTTTGCGCATGGGTGCGCCTGGAGGTGGGGCCTGAGTCTTCTGGCGAAAAAGATGGCGGAGCTCGCAGCGGCAATAGAACCATCCCGGTGGCCGAGGCTCCCTGCCTCTTCAGCTTTTGTGGTGAACAGCGGGGTCAGGGAGTTGCGGCATGCTTCATCCCCCTGCGTAAAAAGCGTAGAAGCGTGCAACGCGGCGCCGCCGTACCGACCACGGCGTCGACCGCAGAGACCCCACAACAGTATGCGCTGGAGCTCAGAGTAGGGGCAGGATGGAAGAAGCACCCGGCAATTGTCCGGTTTCCAGGCATTGTGGTCACAGCCGGTGAGTGGGTGTTCGTGGCCGTCGCTCATGCGGCACGTAGATGGGGGCAGCGTGGCGAGGCGTCGGTCCTTGTAGATAGCTCCTGGCGCACCTCTGCCTCGCCCTTTCCTCGCTTTGGAGACGGCGGAGTGGCGACAGCATCCATAGCCTGCCACTGCCCGCGTCGAGCCAAAGCTGCAGGGGGGGATTCTACAGATACAGGAGAGGGCACGGGTGCCAAGGTCGCCGGGCGGCCGGTGTTGTGCAGTCTCAAGGGGCAGGTGAGATATTCCAAATGAACCACCGTATTTTCCAGGGTGATCTTAATGCAGTGCGCGAGAAACCCTAAGAACGTAGTCTTCGGGTAGATTTGGCGATGTGCTTGAACTGTATTGCCTCAGTTCGGCCCTTGCAACGCCGTAAACAGAGGGTGATGAGTGTCCTGCCCCGTTGTGTATACATGTGTAGGCTACCACTTTGTCAAAGGGTAGGTGCTAGTTGACCCAAACATCGCCTTCATGTGTGGTGCACCCTTCTTTCAGATGGGGCCGATCTACCTCTTCGAGGGCAGCGTGTCCGAGTCATTGCTACGCGGCATCCGTCAGCTCGGCCCCGGCTACGCTTTCAGCTTTGAGCCTCCTCAGGTGGACTTGCGTGAAGTAGCTTTGCTTCCGACCAGCGATCCTTCCCTGCAACCGCTGTCGGAGATGGGGATGGGAAGCCCAGAGTTGAACGCGAATGGTGGTCTAAAGGAAAGGAACGACGACGGTGAGAGTAGGCTACGTCGTGCCCAAGCAGCGGCTACAGCAGCTGCAGCGGCGGCGCGTCAACACCTGCATAAAGAAGCTCTCAGTGGCTCCCTGACATCGCGCATCCTTCTGGCGTATAATCCCAGCGTGTGGGGCGGCGAGTATTTTCTCGATAACACTCCGGAGCATAACCCTGTGAGGTGGACCAGTAGCGGCTCCCAGGCCTCGTCCAGTTGGGGCGGACAGACAGAGCGCCGCCAGATGATCTATTCCATGGCTGGCAGTCAGGCACATGTTCTCGTTCAGCCTCCTACCGTAAGCCAGCCCCGTGCGGGCGATGACGGTGGCGACCTTCGCGCCCGTCGCGCACGGCTTGGTCCTGCTGGAGGGCCCTCGAATGACCGGCCGGACGCCCCGGCTGGGCGAAGCCGTGGGTGGTCTGGGTGCTCCGGGGGCTCTGGTGTGGACACCATTGACTACGAAGGCGAAAGAGCAGTGTTTGTGCGCCCTCGCCGACGGCCGGGTCACATGCACGCGATGAGACTTCCGGGCACTCGGGAGTGTGTTACGCGAGACGTGCGGGACGCTTTGGATTGTCTAGGCGGAGTGAAGGTGCTCTTGCCACTGTTCGCGCAGTACGATCACGGGGTTCATCGTGGTGGAGCTGCCCGTGTAAGCTACCGGACCGACCCACGGTTGAACGAGAACGTGCTGGCTCTGCTTGTTGGAACGTTGCGAGACAGGTGTGTAGGTGTGAAAAAAAAATCTATTGTACATGGATGTGTATTTTCGTTAGTTTTTTGGTCGGCACTCCGGTCTAGGGCTCTTGAGAATATTGTGGGACCCTTGATGCCACGGCTTCACGGAGCATTCAAGTACGATATGGACGATAAGAAATAGAGCGTCGGTCTGTCGATAGACCGTTACCGAGACGAGTTGAGCTTCTTGGGCGGCACGCCTTGTAAAACGTTCACAAAAGTTTGTGCCACTCAACCATCCCGCAGAAGCTCTTGGGATGTTACGTTTTCATCGCAGGACCGCATTAACCTACATCGACCGCGTTGCTTGTGTCCTGTTGTTTGTCCTCCGTCCGCTCGGTGCGTCTAGCGTGCCCAACCAACGCTTTCTGCGTCGATACGGTGGACTTTCACTCATCCCGTTCTGCCTTGAACGGGTGAGTCCGCAACACATGAACGCGGGGGCTCTTGCGCAAGCGTGTCGGTTGGCAGACCGCCTTGGTGCTTGGAGTGAGGATTGGGCGGACTCTACGATCGAATCGCTCCTCTCGCCATCCCGCCTTTGGGTCTTCGCTCCAACTGAGGTTCAAATGACTCTGGTCGGGGTTCTTCGGGGGCTCGCCCGACGGTGCCCCGGTCGAATGCGCCGCGTGGTCGGGGTGCAGCAGTGTCTGGACGCACTTGATCTGTACTACTGGTACACTCCACCCGCGAACGAAGGCGATGACGTCGATCCATCAAGCGAAACGAGCCCAGTGGAGGACCCGGCGGCGAAGGCATCAACGGGCGGGAACCGCCGCAACCGCGGTAGTGTCAATGATGACGGCGACAGTGGCGGTGCGGGTAGCAAAGACTGGTCATATGTGTCTCGGCAGTGGGTACACCCGTCAACAGGAGAGGTTCTCGGGGTCAAGGCTTCAGGCGCGGTGCTCGGGGAGATACGAGCGCGTTTGCTCGACACAGTTGTTCTCATGGCATGCGACGGAGATGGTGTTTGCAGGGCAGACGTGGCAGCGATGCTTGGCTTTCTGCGGAGCTGTCGGGACGATTTAAGCCGCTGCGAAGCGCTGCGACTTATTCTCCGTTTCACAGATGACCCTCACCAGGCCGGCCGATTTGTAGTGGCCTCCGGCTACGTTGCGACTGAGGAATTCGGCGTTGAAGATGATGATGACAGTCCTGGCCGCGGGCCTGGTCGGGGTGGCACCGCTGTTTCGCTCTGTTTGTCTCTGGTCCAGGGGTCTGATCCAACTGTGCGACTTTTGGCGTTCCTGGCATTAGGGCAGGTGAGACCTCATCAAACCATGGGCGAGAAGTTGTCGTCGGCACTTGTATTCTTGGTTGTGTTTTTATTGCCTCTCACTCTCGGTAGGCTTCTCATGATAACTGCCGCAGGAGGCACTGCGCCTCTCTCTCCTCTCTCTCTCTCTCTCTC